AAAGACTAATACCTCCTATAATAGACTTAGCAACAAAAACCCAAATGACACCAGTAGACGTCTTTTGGCCGAGGAATCATACTAAAATTTTCTAATTTCTAACTATTTTACAATTAAATGAAATATTTACAATGTGCAGCCGAAGTGCAGCGGCTGCGATAGCGTCACGAGGCTCAAGTAAAGCTGCTGCCCGTGACACCACGTCAGCACAACCTCCCAACAGCACACTCCACGAGACGAGACTTCTTTCACTCATTTCATCAAAGATCCGTCTCACATCATCCATTAGACCACACTTCATCCATCGCTGCATACAAGCTTTCATACTAATACCCAAACCCATTTTAATCATGCAAACATGCCCTGAACTCCGAACACATTATTGCACATCGCTGCATACAAGCTTTCATACTAATACCCAAACCCATTTAAATCATGCATACATGCCCTGAACTCCGAACACATTATAGCCCACCTTCGCACAGACATTAAAATAGAGCAATTATTGTAATGTCATCGATCAAGATTCATTCTCTTCGCATACTAACAAGCAAATTAACCCCCTCACGGGGGAAATCTGCAGTGAATATTAAAACCCATCAGTGTGGTACAATCAACAGTGTCTTTACCTGACACTGGAATTTCATCACTTTGCCTACAGACAGTGAGTCATAGCGTGTCGCATACACCTGAAGAATGGCTTATAGGAGGAATGAGTTTGGAAAGTAGGCCGATTGTTATGGTGGCAGCATGGAGCTATCTGTCTGCTTCAAAATCTAATTGTATAGCTCATGCTCTTAAGAGGGCTCCGCCCACTGCAAGCCAGTGATGAGATGCCGCACTCAGTAGCCATCTCATAAGAACGTCAATCAATTAATATGATCACATAATTATGTCCAAATGTTTAAGTGAAAGAACATAATAACTAATTAGATAAATTGTAAGCCTGTAACAATTAGCATACATCTCGTACAATGGCCCTCATCACGGGGGTAAATATAGCTCAAAAAATTATCCTACAACGATTAGACTGGGAATTCATCAATAACAGAGCATC